GAAACCAACTTAAAAACAACTATTCGACTATTTGTCGGTACCTAAACTGCAATGCTAATTAATAAAATATCATAAACATATTAGAAAATATTGTAAATAATGTTTGTGTTGTTCATATTCAATCTTTATCTATCTAAACCAGCATAATCATAATTTCGAATTCCAAAATTTTGTATCTTTGACTTTGAGGCTATTCAGTGCGAGTTCACTCTCATTCCCCCAAATAACCGAAACCATGTGAACAACACTATAAACATTTGATCCTCCAAACTCGATATATCCCTAGGCTTGCTTGTTTTGTCTTTGCGTGAGAAAAAACTCAAAACTATTATGTCTACTCTTTTCTAGCTTTATTTATTTGATAATTATTTTTACGTGTGACAAAAAAAGGTGTTGTTGTCATTGTAATGTTTTAGAGGACAGAAATGTTCAATTTTAGTTCTGTTATTTAAACAAAAAAATTAAGGGTATAAGCCATTCATCTTCTCGAGATCTCCTGGCAATGAAAGAATTTCTGAGGAATATTTGTTGTGTTTATTCTTGTCGTCTAACAAAATTTCGTTCTATCGTATGAATAAATATGTAATAGAATAATGATTTGTTGGAAATATTAGAATAAATAATTGATAATAAGGGGTCCACTTCTCATCGTCAGCTTCCACTCAGAGGTACACGTCAAGGACAAACGATAATTCCATCATCTCCAATCACTTAACGTTTTTTTTTTTTGTCTATTCCAATCACTTACGTTACGTTCGCATTCCCACATTATTATTCTTTTCATTTTATCTTGTCACTAATGATAGTAAATAAAATAATTATTTAATGAGTCCACTAGTGTTGTGTTAATACTTTTCTACGTATTTATAATTAACTTAAGAAGGGAACATTTATATATTATAAAACTTTTAAAAGCTTCCAAAGCAAACAATGTTCTGCCAAAAAGATTCCAACCAAATCCCACTCTTTCATTAATCTATTGCGATTAAGTTAAACTCTCATTTTCATTATTAGTTTTAAATATGTGGATTCTCTAAAGTAAAACAAAACCCATAGATTTGGATCCGATGTGTATATCATTCCATAT